TACGCAGGTCATTCCGCATAAAAACTCTACATCGTCCCTCTTTGTGTAATAATCTTTGAGTAGATAGTTTTAACGTTGTTAAAGCCAGTGTGTTACTGGTATAAAAAGCATCTAAACATTAGAAAGGAATTAGATCTACAATTATAACTAGTTTCCACTGCTTATTTGTCTCAGCTTGATTAAAGGGAATGAAAACTCAACCCATCCATGCAAGTGTCTGGTTTAATAATACAATTTTTATGCGATGGCTAAGAAACGTTGCAAAGAACAACAGATTTCATTTGGCATAATGTGAAATATTCCGTTTTTATTTTTATTCCGAAGAAAGGAGTTGCTCAACACTTTGTTTAAATTCGTTGTATATTTTGCCCAGGCGGGGGATAACCCATTCGCCCCTGGAAATTTTTCTAGTGAGTGAAGCCGTTTTCGGTCCACTTTCTGGCCAAAAAGAACCGTAACTATTCAAGCCGTTGTTTGCAAGTTGAACCAACTTCGCCGACTATTTTTCACAGTCCTTAATAATTAGAGCCTTAGCAGTTCAAGCCTGTGCATAGGACAAAATTTCACGATTTCGTTTACAACAAAAAAATGTTCACTGCCTCCTAGACTATTCAGTCCTTTAGCTTTCCCTTCTATCTATTTTCACCTTTAATAAGCTAGTAATCTCCTTTTTTGGCTTTTGATGGACATTTCAGTACTAAGCTGTATACCCCTCAGTTCGGTAACTTTCTCAAAGTCCTTCGCTTCTCATTTCCGGTTCCGGTAGAAGGACGTTTATTCCCTGCCAGCCTCCTCCTCAGGCGCTCCGTTTTTCGCATGGTAGAGGCGAGCGCGAAACGCGAGTGACTGGTGATGAACCGCAAGGGACCATAGGAAGGGTACAGATGGCAGGCTGCTTCCTAGCCGCCTTGCTTTGCTCGCACATTTTCATCGAGAGAGAGACGTCTGGGTACGAGGCAGATCCCCTGCAGTGCGCCAAATTTACAGGAGGAATTTTCCTCCTGTAGGTTTTATCCAATCATGAACAGATTTACTGATGAGCAGTCAATCAAACCCGATCACGCCACATGAAAAGTGACTTTTTATTAACTAAATCCATGTAAAACTACTGATGGAAAGATCAAGCAAAACGTTTTCGTTAAGAACAGCTCGTTCCCGTTTTCATCAATAATCAACGCGTCTTGGCATATATCCAGTTGTTAACAAATCCTCAGAACTTCATCCAGCGAGTGTGAGTTCATCTTCTGGCCCCCATAAAAAGGTAATCCATGACAGTCTTGGATTCTAGATTTCACACTGTGGATTCTAGCCTCCCATGCAGACATTCTTAGGGGTTCGTCACGCAGGAACGCCTGACGAACCCCTTAAGAACGTCTGCTTGGGAGGCTATGTGGATCCCGGGTACCACCAGCAAAAAATTCCCAAACAACATGGGTGTCATGTTGTTGCACAGACACAGGGCTATCATCTGGGGTGCATTTGGGGTAGTCTGGTTAAATTCCAGGGGGTGGGGTTGTTCTAAAGACTATGCTTTGTGCGAGAGTGCGGATTTGCGGAGTTTTTGTACCCGAGCTTACCCCTGTCTTTCAAAGCTCGATATCGCCATCAAATTAAGAGGGGGTTGTGTCTGGCTTTGCGTCATGTTGTTGCACAGACACAGGGCTATCATCTGGCATGCATTTGGGGTAGCCTGGTTAAATTCTAGGGGGTGGGGTTATTCTAAAGACTATGCTTTGTGCTAGAGTACGGATTTGCTGAGTTTTTGTACCGGGACTTACCCCTGTCTTTCAAAGCTCAATGTCTCTCTTAAAGTAAAGAGGGTTGTGTCTGGCTGGGCGTCATGGTGTTGCACAGACACAGGGCTATCATCTGGGGTGCATTTGGGGTAGTCTGGTTAAATTCCAGGGGGGTGGGGTTGTTGTAGAGTTTGATGTGTTTTTGCACTCTTATGCAGTTTGTTTCTGTTTGCATGCAAGCAATGACCCACTCTGTTGATAATGTTCCTAGACAGCAAGCAGTTAGACTGGTGGTTGTAGGACTCGGTTTTGTTGAACAGTGTTGCCTTAGATTGTTTTTGGGAGACCAGCTTCAATGAAAAATGGGGTGAACTGGGGAAATGGCTTTGCAATCGGTGACACCGACGCTAAAAATTGCCCCTTAAAATGCCTTATTTTCCAGATCAATGAGAACTTCACTTTTGTTACCTTCAAGACAGACGATCCTATCAAATGGAAGCTTATGTATTCAATAATTTCTTTTTGAGGTGAGATTTTACCTTTCAAGTAACAAGGGCCATTAAATCCCCAATCAGTGCGAGAGACTGACATATTTTAGTAGCCCGGTTCTTCAAAAAACCAGGTATAATTCGAGAAAATAAAAATATTGATCAATTTCCGACTCCGAAACATCAACAAATCTGGCTGCCATTTTTAAAACTGCTAGCTAAGTTCAATGTTATAATCACCCTGCGGTGATTATATCGGGATAAAGCGAAGCTCCTAGCCAATGATGGCGCTCTATTTTCGATAATCATCAATGTAAGTATACTAAACCAAATAATAGCATGATTTGTACGTGATCTTTGGCATAAATACCACTCGTGGTACTTAAAATTGTTTCAAAATTCAGTCACCTCTAACGGCTCGTGATCGTGAAATTACGAGTGACAATTTCGAAATATCACCACAAATCATGCCATTACCTTTACAAATACCGTATAAAGTTCCTATATATGAGTGCACTTCAGTCGTTTTTGTTCACTTTCAGGAAAAATGTTGCCTTGTGAGTCAAATATCAAGAAGAGATCATGCGTTTCTTGTGAAGTATTTGTATTGATAATAGCATGATTTGTAGAGATATTTGGCATAAATACCACGCGTGATATTTCGAAATTGTTATACGTAATTTCACAAGCCGTTAGGAGAGTGAAATTTGAGACAATTTTGAAATGTCACATGTGGTATTTATGCCAAATATCGCGTACAAATCGTCTATTATTTGTTAATAATACTACCCGCAAAAGGTTTGTAATTTTCACTTGTAGGTATTTCAAATTAAGCTGAAATACCACTGCTCTAAGCCAATCAAATTGCAGAAATTTCTCATGTACTAGTATAATAAAAGTTATTTTTAAGACGGATCTATCTTATCTTTTAAGCGTAGGTTTTGTTTCATTAAGTCTTGTTTTTGACCACGTACTGTTTTCCTGTTTTGATCTTTTGTTTTTACTTGTACTTGAATTTATGCTTCAATAGAGCAAACCTGTTGCTATATAAGCGATAAGATATTCAATAGCGCTCTCCTGGTCAGCTAACCCAAACATGTCCAGCTTTGGCTATAAAAACCGCTACTATACGTTAACAAGTAGGTAGAGAAGAGTAGAAAAGTAGAAAAGAGTTAGAAGAGTAGGAAGATTAAGAAGAAGCAGAAGTGAAAGACGAATAAAGGCCAAGATGTAAATCAGATTCCTGGTACCTCATCGTGTAGCGAGCGAGTTGCTCGAACACACCCCCACACCTTTATGCTTGCTTCAATTAAGGCGTGGAGTGGGGGTTGCTGGGGGTTGGGAGAGGGTAGTAAAGGTTTTGACAAATGATCGAGTTGTCTACAGTCGAGGATCTTTATGAAGAGTTTTACTTCAACATACAACACCGTGAGGCCAACTCATTCACTGGCCACTAACCAATGAATGAACATCAAACAAAATTTTGGATCAAGTTAGGCCTTCTGGGAAACTGCCAACCTATGCCTTCCCTAACTCAACGTTAACGCTTACTTCTCACTTAGGGCAAAATATTTTGGTTAGGGGAGGGGTAGGTTGCAAGCTTCCCAAACACCTAAGTTGATCAGTATCTGCATTCTTCAATTCGCTGTATTGCCCTTCACAAGAACCGCCGAGTATCAGGTGAAAGGACAAAGTGCACTTAAGTTTAGAGCAGATAAGGTATGAGCCATCATTATACCAAATATGATGGCTCCGCCTTGAAAGTAACCAATGTAGGCCCGAAATGTGATCATTATCTAGCTGTATAAAGGCAACGGGGTCAACCCTTCTATCTCACTAGCATTGGAGGCTTACTAGTAGGTAAGTATTCTATAGAAGCAAGATTCTCTGAGGGAACAAGATTCCCTCAGAGATTAGAAAACTGCCTAGTTTAAATCTTTTTAAAACTCCAATTCGTGGGAAAGATTATTTTAATACACCATGACCCATTGTAACTCTTACTATTAATAGTGTAAGTTTTTGTATTTTTAACATTATAGTCAATTATATTCCTTAGAGTATTTTAGTCTAGTTTTAAACACGATTCCTTGGAAGACCACGTAAAATGATACGATTTCGTGTATAAATAAAGATTGATGATGAAGCCTAAAAATAAGGGTTACCTAATTTGGTCATTATATTTCTTAAATTCAAACACATGTCAGGGGCGGTGCACTTCTCTCTTGCTCTACTTCAACACCAATAAATCACATAGCTTTTTTTTGCAGAATACCAGTTGTATTAGAAAACCGCTGGTAATCTCAAGGCGCGGGGGGAAACACCCCTGCACCCCTCCCCCAGATCCGCCCCCTGCATGTTCCTCTTCAAGGGTTTGCCTTCCTTGTTTTGTTTAGTTTAGGTAGAAAAAATTGCGAGCAGTAAACAAGTTGAATCTTACAATGTAGCCGATCGAGCCTCAACTATGCAATTCTGAATTCGAAGAGGGTTTCTCAGTGTCTTACATGTACGAACTGTCATCCTCAAAGTCAATCATCACACTTTACTTCTATGTTCGAGCTGGCCCTACGTTTTATTCTATTGCTCTATTAGGCCATACTGTTGCATGTTGTTGTGAAGTATTTTGAAAGTTAATTTTTAGACGGATCTATCTTATCTTTTAAGCTAAGTTTTGTTTCATTAAGTCTTGGTTTTGTCCACGTACTGTTTTCCTGTTTTGATCTTTTGTTTTTACTTGCTCTTGAATTTATGCTTATCTCGCGAATTTACTTATTGCCAT